TATCATTGCATTCGCTTGCTTAATGACAATGTCATGTCTACTACAGAACAGTGTTAAAGAAAAGACAGAAATAAACAACCTTAGACTAGTTTTTAGTTCTAAAAAGGTTAAAACCTAGTAAGCAAGAAGCAAGTCCTAGTGGGCTACAGACTCTCCCAAGGAGAAAAGACACACCAGAGAGCCAGATTCCTGATGTTCTTAATTAAGGAAGGGGACTCTCCTTCTGAACAATAACCACCTTCCAGAACATCCTCCCTTCCTGAAAGCCAAAAATGTCAATTTGAATGGTGAGCACAGTATGATTGTTTATATGTGGATTACAGACTCTCCCAAGGAGAGAAAGGACACCAGAGAGCCAGATTCCTGATGTTCTTAATTAAGGAAGGGGACTCTCCTTCTGAACAATAACCACCTTCCAGAACATCCTCCCTTCCTGAAAGCCAAAAATGTCAATTTGAATGGTGAGCACAGTATGAAATTGTTTATAAACAACGCGACTACATTTTATAACTTTTGGATGAATACACTAGTAAAATTATTGGTGTTTCTTTATGCAATTTATACAACCCTGATTATGAAAATGTTAGTTAAGGGGTGCAATGGGAGGTTCAAAACAGATTATGCATATTTCCATTATTTCTTATGTGAAAAATAGTCTTGAATCACAACCATCTTGAGTTACAACCAGCTCTTGAGAATGAATTGACTACATAAGTCAAGGGTCCACTGTAAGCATTTTCCTAAGAATGCTCTGGGCAATGTTATCAAAATATAGGGTTTAGAGTCAAGCTTAAATATCGCACCTATTGTGTATGGATTTCAGGAAAGATACTTCACCTCTGATCTTCGACTTCTTTGATGCAAAATAAGCCTAACGTTATAAGTGACTATGGTGTGCCATCTTGCATGCATTAAGAATTGCCTCACAGCTTAGTAAAGTGCAATTGGAGGCGTGACTGGATGACTGATACATAGGCCAGCAAACTGAGGGAGAAGACCCACCCTACTGATGGGCGGCATCAACCAACAGTGGTTGGAATAAAACGGACAGTTGTTGAAATGCAAAGGGAAAGGAGGACTTGTGCCCATTTTTTCCCATTAAGTTTATCGGTACAATTTAGGTATACAGTACAGTCACCTACATCACTGGGATCTTGTACCTTTACATGACAGGTCTTGGTTCTCATTTTTTCCGCTTTCCCCTTCCCTCCCTTCACCCTCTCCATCCTTCCCTATTTACAAAGACTTTGTTTCTATGTTTTTCCTTTTCTCATATTTTTTCTTTTCCCTTCTTTCCTTTCCCTTATCCACCCCATTTCCCCTATCCCTG